TCTTGCCCTCCAAGTTTCTTCCTTTCCTTCCTCCCAGCAGAAGCAGCAGCTGCGCTGATGAAATAGCGGAGCCTGGAGGCATGGGGAGATAGTCCTAGCAGCTCATTTTTCTAATCCCTTTGGATAGTCAGCGCGTGATGTACCAGGGTTCATACCGTTCATTTTCTTTAATTATTCCACAGTACCACAAGCTCAGACTCTCAACTGACCTATGCTAGTTTACCTCCAACAAAACCAGTATATTTTAGACTAAACTAAATTAGCTAAAGGTTAGTTAAACAGAAGATTTTCCTCAAATTTTCATGTCAGTCTTCATTTCTTTTCAGTTTTCCATTAGCTGTAGTTAATCCCTCTGCTTGCTCCTCTCTTGGTTGCAATTCTCAAATACCTTATACACTTTCTATTTAATAAAGTTTTACTTCTATTTCAGGGATCCTTTAGAGGGTCTGCTTTTCTCCACTCCCAACAGTTTCTGGAAATCAGATCTCCATTTACGATATCACAAGTTGGCATCCTGAAATTGCTGCTCTACTTTGAAAAAAACCCCCATCTTTCAAACTGTCTCTTTTTCAATCTCTCCTCTTAAATCAGTCTCTTTTCTTCTATTCCTCTGTGTTGCTCTCCTCTGAATTTCTTAAAATCTGTTTCTGACATTCTGGGAAATAGACCCTAATACAAGTTGCATCTTGTAAAAGCTCAAGCTACCATCTCAACTGAACTTCTTCCAAAGTGACATTAGTCCTGGGCAGCAGGTAGCAAGATGTGCAAAAGAAAAAATTGCCAAAGCCCCCTTTTGCTGGCAATTATGGAATAACTTAACAGGCAGTTCTCTAGAAGGAGCCATCAGTGGGGTATTTTTGTCTGTTTCTAATAGGAGTCACTCCAACACTGGATGATTTCTTTATCCATGTGAGTTTCTGATACTTTTCACGGTCTCTTAAACTGCTCCTAGAATGACGTCATCAGGTGGTGAATTCCAGAGTTATTCAAGCCCGATGACAAAACAGACATCCCACTCTTGTTTTTGGAGGTTTGTGAGGTCAGCAGGGGGCATGCTGGTGATGATTAAATCACGACTTCTGCTTTGCAGAGGTCAATTCGGTTTACTGCCCAAGTATGTTATAAACAGGCTGTTCTTCACAATTAGTGGGTGTGTCTTCTTGATGGTATTTTGCAATGAGGGTAAAAAGAAGCAACCATTTTTTCCTTTTTTTGGTCCTATTAATTATCCCACAGACTTCTGTTATGTATATTCCTTTTCCCTTCCTCCATGAATGAGAGAGTGCTATAATTATTGCCATATGCCCCCTCACGTTGACTTTGCCAACATCCATTTATTTCTACGTGAACCTTCAGGCAATAGCTTGTTGGCTCAGTCCTTTCATCAGGCCTCCTCAAGTCAGCTTTGATAGAGAGTGATGAGGCTAAGTCATACCCAGCACTGCCAACAAACATGCACTAAGGAGAGAAATTTGAGCAGGAAACAAGTTCTTCTATGTCAGTTATGTGGGAGCTGTCCCCAGGGCATTAACATCTTCGTTAGTACCCAGATGTACTGCAATGCTGGAGCATGCCCTCTTCCCAGCATCTGGAGAGCAGTAATTTTGCAGCACAGTGACTGGGTCGCAGTGATTCCTTCTTTCTCAAGAGGACAGATTACGAAACTCAATGCAATCAGAGGCACCATTTAAGCAGCCAACATGGGGAGGGTGTCTCCTGCCGCCCGGCATCACAGCCTTGAGCAGGTCAGCCAGCGACACCAAGTGAGAGGTAAGATTGAGGAAGACTGCAAAAAATGCAAGGAAGCTGAGTCACCTCTGTAGAATAATCTCATCAGTACCTGTTCAGGAAAGCTAAAATGGACCCCAAAATGGAGGTGTGAGTTGGCTATATGACAAGAGAGCAGCAGTTAATTTTGAAAAAGGGATGCTTTTGTCACTTGCCATGGCTTCCAGAAGCTTTTAAGACCCAGTGAAGACCTTGCTTTGATCTTTTGCATCCATCTCATCTCTTGCTTTGTCATTGATTCACTGGGTGTTAATCGGATCTAGGCAAATAAGCAGAAAGAAAGGGAAGAAATTTTGTGTTGTGAGAGAAAAGACAGCCAAATTATTTGAGGAGAGCAAAAGGCAGCATAGGTCCTTCAGAATCAGTGGTGACAGAGCCCTGAGTGAGGGAAAAGAAGGGCAGAAGTTAAACCACCTCCTCTGGGTGCCTAATTTAGGCAGGGCAAGGCCCCCTTGGCTGATTCAGGTCCTGGCACAATGACTCAGAGCACTGAAAACTGAGCTCTTAGATAATCCACACAGAGAGAGCTAGCTACCTCCCAGGAGCAATCACAAGTATTTGAGTGAGACACTCATCTTCTTCCCGAGAGCCCTCTAGGCATCCCAGGTGTCTCTGCATGTCAGCTCGCCACTCTCATCCAAGGAGTATGCAACCATGGGAGCCAACAACTGAGAAACCCTGGGCGGAGGGATGTGGAATTAGGCAGCCAGCATCTTTGTGGGAGATGTCACATCAGGACTTCTCAGGGAGGCTGGCAGAGAGGAGTCTCCTCTTACACAACACCCATTGCCAAGGGAGGGCTACTACAGGAGCTTTCATGTTTTTAGGACCTCCTGTGCCTCAGGGCAATTGCTGCTCCCACCTCCAGATAAGGACGCTTTTATGTAACTTGAGATGTGGGTCAACCTTTGGCCCAAATACATGGCTTGTGTTGCTGGGCAGTAGGGAATGCAAAACCTATGGGATCATGGAGAAACCAGGCAAGAGGGAGGCAGGCTGGGGCCATGGACGGAGCTGCTCCCTTAGGGATGCAACTCCTGGCTTCCTAGTGCTGTTCATAACTTCATGCAACAGCCATAAGCAGTCCATGAAACCTTCCATGACAGAAGCAGGCTCTACCACGTGCCTTTGCCCCCTTTGCCCACACATTTTTATACCTTCCTTCATGTGCCAGGTTCCCTACCAACCCAAACCAGAAGTACTTGCCAAGTTCAGATAACACAAGACATGACCTTATTTTAAACCTGGATGCCAAGAGCAAGTCTGTATTCACAAGGTCAGCAGGACAAGACCTGGGGCAGTACTAACCCCAGCTTGGCCTTTGCCTGTGCCAACCAAAATTGTCTCTGAGAAATCCTAAACCTGTGGATAGCAAAGGCTGAAGACTACTTCAAATAGTTCATTTGTTACCACCTTACCATCTGGGCATGGTGCAGAGTATGGCCATCCAAGGCCACAGGACAGTTCTTGGCTCATTCGAGGTGTTCAAATGTGTGTGCCACTTGAATATCTCTAAATCTGGCAGGAGAGGAAGAAAGGTGAAGAGAGTAGATTGGACAGAAGAATGGAGCCAGCTCACCTGTGGGATGTCAATGCAATAGAAACCATGAGGACAATGGAGAGTCTCTTGGCTAAAGATGGAGTATCCTTGGCCAACCTTGCATATGCACCGAGAAGAAAAAAATGAGCTGAGGCTCTAGCAGGAAAATAGAGGTTGGAGGTAAAGCCCAGACTAAGACTGGATGAAGAAGCCCACAAGGAAGGCTGGGAGAGGAAGCAGTCAGGGAGTGCATGGCTGGGGGTCGGATGTGGGTGGAGGGGAGGGTGGACAAGAAGGGATGGGAGCAGGTTGGGGTGAGCGTGAGCCATGAGACCACATTTGCTTTGCAAACCTGTTAGAAAGATCCAGCTGTTTCTGAGTTGTGTTGTTCCTCTGCTCTTGGCAGATACCCAGCGGAGTGAGCAAAGTGTGTAGCTGCTCTCCCTGTGCAATGAGTCTACAGAGAGAAAACCAGCTGGGTGAGCTGCACCCAATTAATTACCCTGGGAGATCGTGTTGGGGTAATCCTAGTGGAGAGCTTCTTCAGCTCAGGAGAAAGCATTTCAGCCTCCTGTGACTCACTTTGGAAGGGTCTGAGTGAGCAAATCTCTCATTCCTAGCTAAGATTATCCACAAGGAAGGTCACAGCAGGGGAATGAGTTCCTTCAATTTTAACCCTGATAGGAAACTTGACTAGCAAACATAAAAGATTTATTTTCAAAGTTAATATTTTGTTATAGATGAAGATGAAATTTCCAGACTCCAGCAGACACACGGTAGAAACCGTCTGTCTTTTCTTGATGATTTTCCTTTAAGCACCATGCAAGATACTTTTCTCCCCTTTCAAAATAATCCTTAATGCTTATAAAGCAATTTCCACTGGAAGATCTTAAATCAGTTTAAAGAAAACTTAATGCTCAAGATCCTTTCGTGTTGAGTCCCGCCTTGTCCCCTCTGTTAGCCTGCTGGAGAGCTCAACAGCCATTTCCTTTCAGCCAGCTGACCCAGAAGAGAAATCGAATACAGTTTACTCTGAAATGGAGTCACAAAATGACACTTCTGCCAATGCAGAAAAAGAAAAGAAAATCTGGGAGAGGCTTCCTGAAGTGAATGCAAAGCAATTGCAATATATTTCAGCATTATTTCAATTCGACTTGCAGACTAACGCCTCCCCTTTTCTTGCTGCTAACATGGATGCATCCAGCCGCTACGCCCAATGTACCATACCACACAGTCACACAATAGAATAAAATAGCTCTTTATTGTGCCCAGCTTCTGTTTAACAACTCTAATATTAAAGGCTTCCTCAGGGAAAAATGATACAGGGCAGGAAATGGTATAAAGGGGAAAATGGCACAAGAGAATGGCATGGACAAAATGAAGGGAAAAAAAATGCATGGAGTTATAAAGGCCAATAGTAGGAGAGATGGTGACTATATGGTGCCCTTCTGCATGTGCAGGGCTCCACATCATGCCTTTCTCTTCCAAACAACATTTTGAGGTAGGGCTGTGCTCTTATGCATTGTCATCAAGGCACAGAAAGAGCAAAAATATTTGCTGATGGTATGTGACCTTCCAGGTAGGAGAAACAGGGAAGCATTCACACTGTACAGATGAGAGTTTGATCCCTTGCAATGCAAGACCAAGCAGCTCCTTTCCCCCCGCAGCCCCTTTAAAAACCCAGCCGGAGGATGCAGGCGAGACTGGCCAAGATGCCCAGAGCTATCATAGTGTAGCTGGTTTTCACACTGCTGGCACCGCTGATGTTGCACAAGGAAGTCTCGCAGCAGCTGGTAGCAACACCAGCTATGCCAATATTCAGGTCAATTGTTGGGCAAAATGCAGAACATTTCTTGGTAATATGCTGTTTACGGTCACTGCCTGAATTGGGGAGAGAGAAAACAGGAAGAAAAGTCAGGTTTTTTATCTTGTATATTTTTTACAGACTTCAATGATAGACTGGCTCTGGAATATCCAGTGGGGAATACATTGTTTTGTACTTAATGCTGTTGGTTTTCCCTTGGGCTTCATCACACTGCATCATTATTTGTGTATATGTGACCTATGGAGACCATCTCCAGGCCTTACGGCTCCTCTGCTGTTTTCAGGGCCAGCTGAGTGCAACCTAGGGCAAGAATTTGGAGTTCTAACGCATTTGTACAACGCAAGATCACAAGACGTCGTTGTCACCGTGCCTGTCACTCCTTCCACAGTGCCTGGCCCTTTCCAATTCAACCACCTCATGAGCATATATTTGGGCTTGGAGATGAGACAAGGGGGTTGTGCAGAGAAATCCTCTCTCTTCCAATGTCTCCCATTCCCAAGTGTGTTTAATGAGCAGTGCAGTATTGTTACCGTATATTGCAAAAGAGATGGGCTATGCTGAATTCCCACCTGCTGCAAGATTTGCTCTCTGTGTGCTATGATCCTCATTAATTCTTCCACCACACCTCGTGGTGGGAGGAGGCTCTGCAGTCAGCCTAACCTGAACCCCATCTTGCCATCAGAGCCTTAGTAAAGCTTCACACTCACCGAGTCCCGTGGTAGAATAGGTTGTGAGACAGTACTTCTCATGGTCAGAACACGTGGTTGGACTGAGACAATGTAGATTGGAAGATGCATCTTTGCATGTGAAACATGTCAAGGAGAAAGCTGCAAAAGAAGCACACAACACCTATCAATCACCGCTAGAAATATCCATAGGAGCACAAAACTGGTGGTGCTGGGTCAGATGGAGTATCTGTCAAGCCCAGCGGCCACAGGCAGACAACCTCCTGGGTGTGTGAAACTTGGCGCCAGCGACTCTCCTGGACCCAAATTACTTTAAGCTCAGATTCCTGACATTGATGTGCTTTGCTCATTTAGTAACTCTCAAGGATCTTCCTTCTGGATACTTACTTGAGTCTCCCTTCAATCCATTTAAACATCTGGCATCCCCAGTTTTTTTTCCCAGTCTACTACCACCTGCAGCATGAAGCTCTCATGGTCTCTTTCCAACCTGGTTCTTCCAAGCCCCATTTGCTGACCACTAGTCCTTGTGTGGAAAGAAACCAGTGGATTCCTGTCCAAACTCTTTCACATCCTCTTCAAGTCACCTGAAGAGTCCTGGCCTACACATCCTTTCTCAGAGAACGCAGACCAACAGTGTTTTATTTAAAAAATCTTTTTAAATACAAAAAGGGAGACACACGCCTACGAGTAATGCCCCTGGCCATACTAGGCATGAATATTTTGCTGCATGTCCCCACAATGTATCTCAAATGAGGAACAAGTGACCTAGATCTGCTTCTCAGTGTTTGCTGGGAAGATGGATGCTTGCATTTGGCTGGTTCATTTTCAGAGCTCTCCTGAGTCGGGAGGCAATCTTGGAGCTGTAGAAGACAGGGCTCAGGAAACCACCCCCTTGGCTGCAGCAAACTCCTTTTTACAGCCATCCGTGGGTGATGACTGCCTAACACTACAAAATGTGTACATCTGTAACACTGTGCATCTGCAAACGCTGTGCTAATAGGAATGAATGGAAACAGCTTGCACTCAAGTAAGCTAAAGCAGTCATTCACAGCAAAGTGATCCTCAGGGAAGGTTTCTTTGCATGATAAGGGGAATTTCCTACTCATCTGTTTATCTGGAGCAAACATTCCTGCAGTAATGTCACCCACCGGGGATTAGGCTCATTCTTCTCATTTCTAGGCTATGCCTATCTATGGCCAGTTAATACCCAGCTTATTTTTGTACCAGCACTGTCCTTTGCCTTCCTTGATCTTCGTCTCCCTCACTCTTCTTCTCCCTTGCCCAAGTTTCTTTGCCCTTGTTGATGCCTTTGCCAGCTCTGTCGCAACCTCATTGTTGCCCTTGTTTGACCTTTGACAAGCTCACCTGGCCCAAACAGGCTCTCTGCTCCCTGTCGTCCTACAAGCCCAGACCTGTCCCCAGCTCTGACCATGACCCAGGTGACCAAGGTGTGCACTGTATTTCATAGGAAGCCACAAAAATGTCTTTTGGGGTACTATTCATCCTTCTCTGTCTCTGTGGAAACTGTCTTCTCCCCCCACTCCAGCTAACAGCCCCTTTTCCCTTTCCATGGCCACCCAGCACTGACCATCATTTTCCTCTTGTGGTCTGTAGTCCTCACAGATCCTACTCTCCCTCTGTTGTCTCTCACTGAAAAGCATCTAGCAGAGGATGTAGAGGCCAGGCAACTGGACTTGCAGTGACTCAGATCCCACCTCCCTCTGTTCCCATGCTCACCACCCTTATGATTTCAACAGTCTCAGACCTGGCTCCTGGCTCACTGTGACTTGATACGAAGACTGTTGCAATTTGCTTCTTACCTTGGTCATGGTCATTTCTATCTCCAGACTCTCTTGGCTGCCCTGCCTGGCTCTTGCATTCAGTATTCTCCTGACACTGCAGGCTACATTTTTTTTTTTTCAAGTCTGGGGTCTGCCTATAGACTATCTGCACTCAAAGCAGTGTCGCTTCATTCGCTTTTCTTGTGCAAACCCTACACAGGGACATTTCTGCTCCACCCACTGGGAACCACCCTGTCCTCCCAGAATAACCGTACACTGCAGCAGATTCCCCAAACTGGGTTTTCCAGACATGCAACCGATTTTATTCCTTAATTAACACAACTGGGTTTTCCAGACATGTCACTCATTTTACTCCTTAATTAATGCAGTTTCTTTAATCAAGCCCGTTCTAAGAAAAACTTCCTGAATCTATGCAGGAAGCAGTGGAGCTTGTTACATATCCAAGTCCTGTCTCATCCCAAACTCCCAAAGCTGCTAATTTAAGACTACAGTTTTCCTGGGACCCTTCTAGCCAGGGAAGGGGGCAAGCACCTGCGGAGGTGAGTTTGCCAACATCTCTGTGCTCAGGAGGTTTCTCTCTCACTCACATTTACTATAGAGGACTTTGGAGGCATGTGGGCTCCTGACCTGGTAGCTCAGTTAAGACCCTGAAGCCAGGTAGGACGATTTTGATCTTCTGTCCTGGTAAGAGCACAATTGCTCATGCTACTGAAAAACACATCTGATTTTATTGCGTCTGTTGAGGTATCTGTTGTAAGGAGGGCTGAGTGGGGAAGGGAACAGTATTTTTTTAGAAATGTGCCCGGCTTAGGATGCAAATCGGGGGTTAAACCAGGCTGCCTTTGGAGGTCTCCTGTCTGTGCCTAGCAAGACCTCTGCTCTAACTAAAAAAGAATGTTCCTCAAGGAAGATTTTCGTGTGAATAATCCGAGCCACCCGGATAAACAACTTACACATGTAAAGCATTAGCAAGTGCAAATGCCAGCAGATGCAGGATTTACACCGTTAAAAGCAGTCAGGTTCAGGATTAATTGGAACAGCAACCAGCCTTCTGGCTAGATCGCACAGCGAAGTGGTGCTGCGTATGTGTTAATTCTCACCAGCTCCGTTGTTAAGTTTGCCGTCTCATTACATGTTCTTTTTAAAAAATGTGATTACAGTTGATAAGCTGCAGGAAAGAATCCATTTATTGCCCTCGACTTTCACAACTCCGTTGAGCACAATGATTTAGCACATGCCAAATTTAAAGCCTGTGAAATCCCACAGTAAGAACATTTACAGCCTCAAATTAACTGTGAGCCTAAGTAAGTGCTCTGCTAGACTGGGACCAGAATGGCCAGTAATTTTCAGGTAAAGCCCAACAGCAGAGCCTGAGAAAAAATCAGTTTGCAATAAGGCAAAAGCCTCCCAAGCTGAGGAAATCAACTGTTCCCGTGGAATAGTCAGAGGGATATTCAGGGCTGCACCCTCTGCTCCTTGCCTGACCCACAGCCCACCCCTGCGCAAACGGGACATCTTCCAAAGGCACAGGCAGCAGTCCTCGGCAGAGCCCAGCCAGGCAGAGTTAAAGTGCAGGTTCCCGGTGCACCTTTCCCAAAAGAAACAGCCACCAGTTTTTAGAATGAGAATGACTCTGCGCCTCCATCCCAGACCTGGAATCAACATCGGCGAATTTGCACCTCAAAGCAACAAGCAGTAAGAAAGAGATGGGAGCCAGAACTGCATCTTCTTGGTAATGTTAGGTTAATGGTTGGACTGGATGATCTTAAAGGTTTTTTCCAACCTAAACAATTCTATGATTCTTGCGGCATGCCCATCACTAGCAATTTAGGTAATGATGGTGTGTATTTGCAACCAATAAACAAGCAAGTGAAAAAACAATAATCAGGCTGTAGTTAGCTATAAGTGGAATTTGCAGCTTTATTGTACATGTTGCCCTCTGCCTGTCCAGCTCTGTATATCCTTCAACTAATCCCCCTTCTCGTGGAGCTGCACCAAGGGCACGCAGCTGCCTACTCCAAGGGCTGGGCTGGGACTGCACAAGTTAGGTGAGGGGAGTATCTCATCCCCCACTTCAGCTCCTCAACATCCTTCCAACTTCTGGTGGGGGTACGTCCCCTGGCTTCTTATCCTGAGGACTGGAATATTCTCTAGAGCCTAGTGCTCCTTCAGCTTTACCATTCTTGCTGCAAAATCCCCTTGTCATCCTGCAATATCAAAGACATGCCCCAACTCTGGGGGTCTCGCTAGTGCAAAGCAATCCTTGGAGACTCACCACTCTCCATGCACAGGGTTACGATGAGCACGACAAGAAGAGAAGTCTTCATCCTTTATAGGTCTTGCAGCCTCCAAAACAAGCAGAACTCACCCAGGGCAGGTTTTATACCTCTGCAGTGTTTGCTTTTGATGCTACGATAATAACTATAGCGTTGCTGTGTCAGACGGCGGATAATTGAGAGTAACATGTCAGTGCTTGCATGTGGAAGTATGCTTTGTTGGAACTCTAAACAGGCATATATCCTCCCCCCACTACTTCTTCTCCCGGTTGTTGCACAATGCAGTTTGTTCATCTGGTGTTAAGTATGCAACAGTTTCTAATTTTGGATAAGTGGAGGAACAGCAAAACACAAAACCAAAACAGTGTCCGCACGAGAAGAGGGATGTTTTCCTTTCCAGGACAGCTTGGGTCTCAGAGCAGGCTGCATCCTTGAAGATCCTGTCCTCGCACACTGTTTTAGTACATATGGAAATTGACTGAATTTGAAATTGAAATTGGGATTGAAACTTCTACAGAACGTCTCCCAGGATTGTCAATACAGCTAGATCAGAAGAGCAGTATCCTTCCACTGTATTTCATAGGGGACCAGACATCATTTTCTGTGGGCCTTTTTAAGACAGCAGTTCAAAATCATAAATGTTTCTGTTCTAAAATTGGATATTTTATATGAGGGAAAATGTTCTTTTATTAGAAAATAAATTCCACTGGGCAATGAAAATGACCACTTCAATTAAAAAACAGAAATAACACCCACCCCCCATCATATTGAACAAGCTGTGATTTTTTTCACAGATTACAAAAATTAAATGTCAGGGAGAAAAAAATGAACCAGTTAAAGCATGGAGAATGAGGGATTGCCTGATCAAGGATCTTAACTCATTAAATCTTCAGGAAAAAAAAAAAAATATAGCCAGCCAAAATGATGCAAAATGCCAAATAGGAGTACTCCACTGGATTTCCATACGGTGCTCTTTATTCCTCCTTTTTTATCATGTTTCATCCTATCTCCCGGTATAAAATAAGAATCTTTCCCATCTTCTTCTGATTGCTGTTACTTTTCCCTCCCACCGTTGTCTTTCTGCCATCTAGTCATGGGGACAGAAGCACAGTCCCAGAAACGGTCCAGCTGGATCCCGTTCACATGACACTCAGAGCCGCAGGAGCAACCTGCGTGCCCCAAGCCTCTGCCAGCGACTCTGCCCCTTGCTGCTCTCCATCTGTTTTGTTTCCCTTTTTTCTTAGTCTCAAAGTTGCTCAGATTTCCATCTCCCATTGAACATTTGGGCTTCCAGTATGACCCACCTACAGTCATTATCTCATCGAAAAGGCATGCCCAGTTCTTGAGGTGATGTAACTCTTTCCAACGCTTCTAAATAGGACGTATAAATATTGTTAGCATGGAGACCTGCATGACTAAGGTGAGGAAACTTCTGCTTTCTCAATAGGTAGAGCATGAAACTCAGTTGGAACAGAGGTGGCAATTAACCAAGAAAGCTCAAAGGAGGGGCATTGTCTGGCTTCATAAGACCAATGCCTTTGTAAGGCAGGGGGCAGGAGGAAAACAGAAGTTGGCACCCTCCATGCCAGGCACTGCAAGCCCCTCTTCCTTGTGAAATATTTTATTTTCCCCAATCCAGAAGGGATTTCATCCGTCTTTATTGGTGAATCAACTTTTATTGCTGATTATTTGAGGTAATAGCGGAAAAGGGGGCTCTAGTCACAAGGCGATGCCATTCTGCAGCCTGTGCATTGCGCTGCAGAGGCAGCCCACATTCAGATTTATTTCAGCCAACAGCATCCATTAACAGGTACAGAAATAGCAGCTCAGCCAGGCACTTTTTTTTCCCCCCTTCCCTTGTAGTCTCATCCAAGCAAAAACTAAAATATCTCTTGTCTCCTGCAAGCTGCTGGTATTTTGTGATGGCAAAGCAGTATTTCTTAAAAGATTTCTGACAGTCGAGATTTTCTATTAGATGGTCCTGCACTCTTCCAACTGGTCCCATATGTCCCCCTGATGTTAATGTTATCTTCATCCCTCACCAGTGCCAGGTGAGAGAGACTGAAAAGAACCCATGGGGTTAGAAAGGACACAGATGATTAGGACACCAGAGGGACCAAGGCAAAGGAGAAGATAATATCACAGTTTACAAGTATTTGGAAGCTATAAACTCCAAGAAGATTTTGGAAAGAGTAACAGAGGATTTAACTGGGGGTGGAGGATGGGGTGGAAGGACTTATTTCCCTTGACACAGTTGCTGAGTGGAGAAGGAAGGAGAGTGTTTTGCTCATCTTGCTCTAAACCTGGTTGAAATTGTCATGAGAGAAGGGTGAACAATTTCTTGATTTTGGTGAAAACATGTAGTTTTCATGAGACAAAAGCTGAAATTTAAAAGTAACTGTGAAATTCAGATCTTTTTACTAAGTGTGGATTTTCAAGTTGGCCAAAAGCTTTGAGAATCGTTTCAGAAATTATTGTCATTAACATATAGGGAGAGTGATGGGAAAAGTGATTAAAAAGAAGTGCAAAAAAACAAGTTTCTGTTGGTCACTCAGCACAGAACTGCTACAACACTACCATTCTTCAGTTAGCCCATCTCGTATTTAAATAAATGCCAGAACACGCTCATTGCCCAGAAATTAAATCTTTATAGGATGACTAAACCTACTCCCATCTTCACAGCCTTCAGCCAGCGCTGCAGTTTCTCCCCGTTGCACAGAAACACATGCACTTTGTAGCCTGTCTTGAGCACTGGTGGAGCAGGACTCCCCTCAAATCCAGCTGGCCTGCAAATGTCAGGGCTGTTTTCCAGGTGCCGCGTCTATGCAAGCCCTCCCGAAATGCAGCACTGAACTTATAAACTGCTCAGCTGGGAACTGTGCACCCTCCAGCTCCAAGAGTGCATGTATTTTGCCCGTCTTAGCCGTAGCTCTGCTCCTCCAAGAGCTTCAGGGGATCTCCACCCCATCTCCACTATCCCCAAGCCTGGAAATGCAGCAGCGACAGAGGAAAGGGAAGGAGCAGAGACCTCCCCACCAGATCAGTCACCCATCACCTCTGCCAAGTTCTTTCTGCCCATTTCCCCTGTCGCTGCAGGGATGTCATGAGCAATCACTCAGCAGCATCTTCTCCAAGCAGGCACAGAGGTCCCCTTTCCACGAGAATAGATTCCAGCAGCATCATCCTCATCTTGGACATCTCCAGCATCTTGGGGTGGAACCTTTACCTATTTTAAAAGCTGAAACCACCCACCCTGCAGAGATCACATGAGAACCTAGCAGCACAGCCAGGAGCACAACCAATACCTGGCAAACCCCCAGTCCTGTGCGTTAGCAGTTACAAAACAATTCTCACTGTTGCTTGCAATGGGAATAACACAAACATCTTTGACCTTTCCAGATTGACACCTTCGTTCGTTAGCGCTGAGTCATCAGGCAGAACATCTGGCTTTATGGAGTGTCTGTCTTGAGCTGCTGGATGCAACTGAGTCAATTGAGAAACGCAGCCAGGAGAAGACTCCCAGGTGCTAAAAAGAGGAATTCAATGTGAAGTAGAGATTCAGACAGAGCTGTTTCCTCAGGCTGATCTTAGTGTGGATATAACAAACACACTCTAGAATAACATAAATCTTTATTCTGTCTGATGATTGTCACACACATGCTATCAAAAGAGCTTTCCCAGGGAAAATTAGTACAAAACAACAAATGATACAGGGGAAAAAATAGGATCTATGCTACCCTGCCATTTTGTGGATGGGATCCGAAGCAACGTCTTGGAAAAACCAGGGTAGCATAGAACCTGTTGGAGACACTTGACAGAGGATGTTGGTTTATTATTTGGGGAATACCTTGTAGGTTCTTGGGTTGTCACATCTTCTCCCACCCTTCATCACAATCCTGCCCTGACGACACAGATCAAACTGGCCACAATTCCCAGGAACATCACGGCATAGCTGATTTTTATGCTGTTGGCACCACTGAAATTGCACAGGGAGGTACCACAGCATTTGGTGGAATAAGCCGCCACACCTAAGTTCACGTTCGTCTCAGGACAGTCTACAGAACATTTCTTGGTGATGCGGTGTCCCATGTCCTTGTCTGGATGGAGAATAGACAAGAAAGGAGAGCTGTGATTTAAGGTTCTTCTGCAAGAGCTGACCAGAGGATGAGAGGAGGAGGTATATTGCACTGTGCTTAATTTGCAATGCAGCAGTAACGGCAATCAGTGGATTTCATGAGTGCTGGGTGAGTATCCACACAAGCTGGATCAAATGCATGACACTAGAAAGTCCTTGGTAGAAACCCACACCATGCTTCACGTAGGACAGCAAAAAAATCACTGTGAATAGATTTTTGGTTTCTAAAACCACATTACTTAGAGCCAACCCCCTTTCATCCCCTATCACAAGGCATGTGTGTGAGCTCCAGATGAAGCAACAGGGTCTGCTCATGATAATCTGTGTGTTCCAGCCAGCCCAGCCACAAGGTGGTGAGGTACATACCCCAGGTGGTAGATCACAGGGCACCGCTGAGGAATTCACATGTTATACATTGTGATCCTTAAACCTCAGTGATCAACAACTACTGCCCTCAAAAAAACTATTGCCCATCTGGAGGGGGGAAAAAAAAAAGCTCCTTGATGTGTTGCTGGTACTCACCAAACCCAACAGAGCTGTATGTGGTTATACAGTATTTCTCATGGTCTTCACACTTGTAGGTTTTAAGACAGTTCCAGTTGGAGTGCTCATTGTCACATGTGTAGCAAAACAGTGAGGAAGCTGGAAAGAGCGCACAAGACACATATTAGTGGTTTCCAGCAATGCCCTCCTGGGAAGAAATTGTCAAAAGCCATGTCCCTTCTTGGAAAATACAAGGTGAAAAGTATGTTAGGAACAGGTTTTCATGACAAGTGAAATAAGAGGTTGGTTTTGATTAATGAAGCTGAAAAAACAGACAGAGCAAAACAAGTTTTCTTTCTTTACTTGAGTTTTTCTGTGATTAAACCTCAAAACATGTTTTTTCAGCCTGAGCAGCACTCAGGTGACCTTTCTT